TGGATGCACTCTGAATGGTTCCTGATGCTTTCTCCAATTTGTTGAGAAGCTTAGTGCTGAACTCTAGTATTTCAACATTTTTAATAGAGTTTACTCTGGTTACAAAATTCGTTCTATCTTATAAACAAAGACAGACGGAGCATACATATATATGAATGTTTTTCATTGTTTTTACATGTATAATCGGTTCTTGAAGTGGGTCCTGCATGTTCTGTACCACTCTGTATATTATCAACATAATAATTGGACCGAAAAGAAACTGAAAACAAATTATTGTTCGTTTGCTATGCTTTATGTTATTACACGTACTAAAGGAAAACTTGTTAAAGGCGTACTTAATCTATAGTCGTCTTTCAAATTGGACCAAATTGAAATAACAACAAAATATTTACTTCACTCTGTCATAAATTATTAGATATTTGTAAATAATTGCAAAAGTCTTCTCACTTGTATGTATTATAGCGATTTCGTTGCACTGAAAGTACTTTATTGTATCGACGACTACATTTTTGCATTTATAAGAACGAAATATTTACAAATATAGAAAGTGCACATTGTCGAGATAATTATAATTTAGATTAATTTAAACTTTGGTGCAGAGTAACTACAAAAGGATGAAGATGCGATGTTTGTTTAAGAGGTATGTTACATTTCATTATTGAATTATTTTTAAAATACAGGTTCTTATATTAACATGATTTATCAATAACAGTTAAATTTAAATACTTTCATATATAGTTTTAGATAATGTATAATCATGTATATACTACTATATGATATACATATATATAAATAATAATTATTTTCACAAAAAGCACTTTAAAGTTTATACCTATTAGTTTATATTTTATAAACACTCGTTAATAATCAAGTCTTATTTCGTTTCGGGCAAAGATTTTCATGTTTCGTGAAATATATAACAAGATTTATACGTATAGCGTCGAATTGATGCATGTACTTACAATAACGATATACATGTATGTATTTGGTTTTGCAAAAGCGAGAAGACTTTTACGATTATGTCCAAATGAAGAAGCTTCGTATAAAATGAAACGACACAGGTGCTAAACATAAAATATTGTCGACTTTGAGGTGCCTTTAGTCTATTCGTCATAAATCACTATGATTAATCAATTTATAGACGTTACGATTATTTTCACTAGGTAGAGGATAAATATAGGATACACAGCTCTGATCCCATTTAATTGCACTTAATTTTGTTTCTGAATTGACTTTATTTTGAGAACGAGTGGGTGGAGAAGGTAACCGGAAATACATACGTATAAATGATTCTCTTTATGTCGATATATGTACAGCAATCATCATCGATGTAAATACACGTAAGAGAGAAACACGATATCCAAGTTTGTTTTATACGGAAGGAGTTGCTTGTAAGATCAAGCTATCCATAGTATATTTGTCGATAAATTTGTATTACATTACAATAATACAGATACAATGTTGAAAAAGTACGAAGTAAAATAAATGTTGATACTTAACAGAGAGAAATATAGTTTATTTTAATATTTAAATATTATTAACAATTAGTTCGATAAAACACTGAATTGAGATGCGATAGGATGTTAGTTATTTCTTTTAAGAAGAAAATAATAGAAATCGAATACACTGAGGTATTATAGCTTACATTATTCAATCTCTTATTTTATCTAAGATGTAATGTACTGATTGTGAGATTATTAGGGTGTCGTCAGACAATCAATAATATCGTCAACATTAGAAGGTTCTCAAGGAAAATGCGGCTTGTTAATAAATATTGACAATATTGTATTGGCAATATACATATATATATATATATATACTGATCCTTTTAGTCGAGAACCTTGAAATATTGACAGTATACATACATATACGTATACATATTGATAGACTAACGACACCTTATGGGATTATCAAGTATGGTCAAAAAGTTTAATCGAATGTTATTTCAATTATAATTCAATATTTATAAGTTTCTAATCATTCTTCTTTCAAATATTTCTTCTTTAACGTTATTACTTCTCTTCTGAATACAATATTGAATAAGTTGATACTCTATTATCTGTATTCGCTATTTATCTGGAACAAAAGATTTCATGATGTACACGTAATTATACAGCGTATAATGTATGTATATGTAGGTAAATATGTAGGTTCTATTTCATTGCCCTCTTAATACATACGTGTACGATATATATTGTATAAACATAATTATCTAGGATGGTATCATTATTTTTAATCAATTTCATTTACCTATAATTTCCAAAATGTACATTTGAAATTGAAATTTGCTATTTTCATTTGTCTGATCTACCTATCTGTTACAAAGGCATTATTAATTCCCTTTTAACCGTAAGTTATTACGGGAAACCAATTGGTCGTTAAAATCAATGAATATTAAAATCTGTAGTCATTTCTTTTCATAAACGTGTTTCAGTTTCTTGGATGCATGATTTCTACTACATTATATACTAGGAAATTCTTTAATTGTTAAAAGATATACTAAGACACGATGGCTCGTTCTCGCGAAACGAACACACATACATACATATATCTCTTATTATACAAATTATAAAGATGCACATAATGGCAGCTGAAAGGATTGATCGAAAGGTCTGAGAATATACGGAATTGAATTAATCTGTATATGTGTAAATATCTAATGACTTTTACGCGACATAAATACATGTATGGTTAAAGAACGATATAAGAGTTAGAGATACACACTTGTAAAGAAATCGGTACAGGGGATATACACAATAGTTAACTAAACACGCTATTATACACAATATAATTATATTATGTTAATCATGTAAAAACTGTACAAAATTATGAATATAGTAGTATGTAGTTTTACATATTATACTTATCATATATGTAGAATTCATTTCACATCGAGTTTTTAAGGAAGAAAAATAAATTACTTTTGGTCAACCATACTGCGATTTATTATTTACGGTAAAATACGGTATGCCTTGTTCAGCTGGAAACGCTCAAATATCTCGAAAAATATGAATGATACGAAACAATGTTCCAGACAGAAGCCCCGCAGCTTAGGTTGACCTCCTCTTGCTCGTGTAAGGAGGTTTGCTCGTGTGCAGGGCCATTTTGGACGATTTTTAATTCTTAATAACTAAAAAATAAAGCTGAAAACGCAATTTTTAATTCTTGATTTTCGTCTCATAAATATCCTGACACTTGTAGCCGACCACCCTGTATAGTAATAATATAATAATAATTTCTATCTTTCAATTAATGAACTAATGAAAAAAAGTTAACCTTTTTTTTCTTAGTTTCTACGATTTTATGTTAGGAAAACATGATATCATAGGAGATGGCACAATTTCAGTGTGAAATTCTTGGCCCGTCCAAAATATTTTTCTACCGACTTTGCGAGTTTGTATCAGGAGAACATAACAGCACGAAAGGTGGCACAATTTCGGCGGTTCTTGAAAATGACCTCATATTCCAGGTATCACCAAAATTTCAAGAAAGGACGTCATATTGCTATACCTGCCAAAATTTCAAGAAATGTCCTCAAATTCTCAGAATTTTTGAGTGTTTACATACATTGACTTTTTTATTTACATTTTCGAAATTTTTTAATTTTTTGACGTTTCCCTTATTTTAACTTGTGAAAATAATAAGAGAGTAAAATAAAGCGGGATGAACGAAGTTAAGGATCAATGATAAGACATTCGAATTCGCTTTAAAAAATCTGTTTATTCATTGAATTTAAAAAATTATACAATAATCTTGACAATTACTAATGTACCTGTAACGACAGTGACTAACGTACCTAACTATCTGCATTACGTAGAACATATTAAGAAATACAGCTTAATTCTCGTTCTAATCACGTATAATTTATACTTATTTTTACAATATAATTATTGTGCAAGCATGTCTTTATACTTATAAATTAATAGTTGCGTTTCATGTCATATTTCAGGAATTAATAATTTATAGCACTTGTTATAATATAAATACAATTGTAAATCCAAAACATAGTTACAAAACACGGAATGTAATGAAGTATAGCTAATTACAACTATTTAGAATTAACTACAACTACTTTTATCGACGTGATAAAAGTTCTGTGCTTTCTGTTGTAGTTTCCTGATGTTACAGCAAAAGTAAACCTGCAATACACAAAAGAAATATTAATTTCATTTATCTTACAGTATAAAAAATGAAATGTAAGAATACTATAATCATTTTTGGATAATATTAATTAAAAATAAATTCATTTGACGCTATAAAGACTGCTGAAAGTATTTAACAGATTCACCTATACCAGTTAATCAAGGTACTCCTCGATCGCATGCAATTTAATGAAAAATAAAAGATATCGACTGGTAGCTATAGGTTTCAATTTGGTTTAAATGTCGCGTACATTAGTTTATCCAAGATATTAAGGATCGTAGTTGACGAAAAGATTCGAATAAAATCTCGTTCGCTAATCTAAATTATTGCAAGACAATTTTCAATTTGAAACGCGTGGAAACGTATGTAAACGAGAGAATGCGAGCGGGAAGCGAGCGAACACTTGTCTGAATTAATTTTTACAGTAAACTTTAATTTAACGTTAATTGGTAAATGCATTCTATGTAAAAATGTTACGTATAGGCAATTAAATTTAAAAAAATATGATATGTGTTTTAGATCTTTAAAAATGTTTTATGTACATACACAATTGCGAAGAGTTCTACCAGGCACGCTGCAGCCCGCTTACCGACTAAGCATATATGTATACACGGATTTATCGACATAATACAGTAGTATTGCAAGTTGTAGACACAAGATTGCGCTGCGTTACAAATCCTAACAAGTGGATCAAGGCGCTTACTATGAACAAATTGATCAATATCGTTCGGTTATTAAGCCTACCAAGCCAACCTAACCCCCCCCCAGGAGAAGTTATCAGACCTGTAAATAATACATATATACGACTGTGCTTCATAGGTTTGTACGAAATGACATTCGTGTAGTCGCAACGTTCGTGTGCGGATTGGTGCATGCGCTGGTGTACGAACCGGTGTTCGTCTGGTTGTGGGTAATAACAGATGTCGTACCAACACTTGTGTGATCCTAGCTTTAAAAATGTGTTATTCTAGCTCAATATTTACACTGGAGCCTCAACTTCGTACCGAACCTTTTAATATTACAATTAATGCTGCTATTATTTGATATTAAACGTATAGTTCGGATACTTTTGCGACCTATGATTTGCCATTAGATCTAATAAAATCTTTCTAACTCGAATTTGTGTTAGATTTTTTAGATATTGATTTTAATAGAATTATCCTTACTTGTTGTTCATTTATAATAAATACAGCAATTTTAAAAATGCAAACTTAATTTAAGATAAAAGATATAAATAAGGATATATAATATAAAAATATAAATAATAATAAATAAGTCTCTCAAGTTAAATTTCTTAAATTTGGTATTAATATAACTTCCAGAAAACATGCTGTAGTCTCAATGTGTCACGTGATAATGCAGCCATGCGTCTTTTATGCAACATGGCGACCGGCAAAGGACTTGCAATCGTTCTCCGACCAAAAACTATTAATTTATTCAGCAACAGTAAATTAAATAAATTTCCATGTGGTATTGTGCAAAAATGTAGCACGTGTCACCGATCTGTTACAACAATAGCATTGAATGTCGGTAGTTGGAGCTCAAAAAAATCAGGAAAATGTAATGTATACATCTGATCACGAATATTATGCAGATTACATCACACTTTATTCATAATACGTATTTTATTTCGAATTTGTTGACATATTAGATATATCTTGGTATTTTGAAAAAATTTTCTATTTTTAATTATATATAATATCATGAATGCCTTGTCTTCTTACTTACAATTTTAATGAGTAAACTTTCAAAGTAAAATATAACCTGAAACTTCACAACACATGCTTATCGTTTTTACTCCTAACAATTGTTTATAGTAGTATCTCAGATAGACTTTTATTCTTTAAATTTTGTTCTAACATATTAATATAAATATCTGTTAATTTTATGCTAACGTGTCAAAGTTATTAACTATGTTAACAAAATTTTAAAGTAAATAAATTATCTTATATAGGGTGTATAGAAAAGCTGGAGTAAATCTTTAAAAGCATATAGTACTCGTCAAAACAAACAAAAATATCTTAATAATTATTGGTCCAAAAACCATTAATTTTGGAATTATAAAATGTTTTTGTCAATAAGGCATTAACTCAACAGCATATATTCAATATATCTTCCATTTATTTCAACACACACTATGGCATGTTTTATCATAGTAGCATGTACAGTTTGATATTTGACATTTCACGATTCATTGTATCAACTCATTTAATACAGGACCTGATTTACTATATATTGTACTTCTATACATTAAATATCTTATAACTCCAATACTAATGGATTTTGAACCAATCTTTATTAAGATCTTTTTAATTAATTTGAGTACATTACACGTTCCTAAACTTTTTGCCCAACTTTTTTATATACCTTGTTTATTATAAATCATATTCTACTTGTAATCCTTTGCATTCTTTAAGCTTTCTACCTTTGATTCTAAGATTGATAGAATTCTAAGACAATTCTATTACTTGCTTATTATATGATTTATTTTATTAATTATATAAATTTACTAAAAATATATTTTATAATTTTTAATTAGTTCATTAATATTTTATTTAGAGAAATAATCTCAATGAAAAATAGGTATACATGCATTAACAATATGTTTGTGTGTGTATTTTTTTCACTATTATTATTATTATTATTATATTTAGAAAAATTCTTTCTAACATAAAATATTATTTATTAAATATAATTGCAGATATGATAGATAATTTATCCAAAGTTCAAAGAGGAATACATACAACAAGCAAACTATTAAAACGTAATTATTATGAAATATTGGGTGTATCTAAGAACGCTGCTGCAAAGGATATTAAAAAGGCTTACTATCAGCTTGCTAAAAAGTACCACCCTGATACAAATAAAGGAGATCCAGATGCAAGTAGAAAGTTTCAAGAAGTTTCAGAAGCATATGAAGTACTAAGCGATGATCAGAAAAGAAAAGAGTATGACACATGGGGAGCCACATCAGAACAAATGGGGATGGGACAGGGCCATGGTGGTGGTGGTGGTGGTGGTGGCCATGCTGGAGATTTTACTGAAGGTTGGCAATTCAGATCATCCATCAACCCGGAGGAATTATTTAGAAAGATATTTGGAGAAGGTGGATTTCAAAGTAATATCTTTAATGATTTTGAAGATTATCAAGAATCAAAGTATGGTTTTGGAGCAGCTCAAGAGGTACTTTTATATGTAGAGTAAAGCTACCTTATTTGGACTAATAGGGACACAAAACCGTTTAGATAATGAAATTTTTGGATAATGGAACAATCACTTTCCTAATATGAAATTTCATTTATTCAAATACAGACTGAGATTAATTTCTTAGTTTCTTCAACTATTTGTAGATCCTATATCTTTCTGACTGCTAAATCACATAATTTTTTCAACATAAATAACTGCATAGAGTTACATTCTTCCTATATGTCAAGTCCAAATATTACAAATGTTTCAGCATGAAAAGGCATCTCTTCATCACCACTTTTGTTTCTGTGATCATTTGTGTAAAATCATCATTATTATCGTGTTTATTGCAATGAAATCATTTCGTTACATTAGTATATTTAAGATTTTTCTTTGAATAATTTTTAATAACATGTTTTTGATTTTTAATGTTTGTGACTGTGGCTTTTCCAACAATATGTATTTTTGCTAGATCTGTTGCACTTACACCATTTTCGAGTTATTTAATTATGTCGTATTTTGTTTCGATAGTTAGAATGTTATTAGCTGCATACTAAATTCTTGTAATGAGAATTCACTCGTCTGAATAAAAAAAAGAATTCATTATATATGAACTAGTGACTAATAAAATATGTACATATTTGAAACAAAAAGAGGTATCCGTTACTGGAAAATATAACATTTGGATATTAGGGTATTCGGATTATGGGTGTTCTACTGTATATATGTACATATATACAGAGTGTGTCAGAATTATAAGTTTAATTTTTTAATATTGCTGAAGTAAAATAAGCAATGAATATCTCAAAACAAATGAACCGGATTCATTGCATATATCACCTTTTTTGATTCAGAATGACCAGAGTGGTCAAATATCCTGATAAAGTTGTTTCTTTGTGGGATACTATTATGTTATACATTTTGGTATATTAATTATTTGCAAGTTTTATTTCTCTGATTTTTAGGTTGTTATGAATTTAACATTTTCTCAAGCTGCCAGAGGAGTGAATAAAGAGGTTCAGTTAAATGTAGTAGATAAGTGTCCAAAATGTTCAGGGTCACGATGTGAACCAGGAACGAAAGCAGTTAAGTGCCACTATTGTAACGGAACTGGAATGGAAACGATTAGTACTGGCCCTTTTGTAATGAGATCTACTTGTCGTTATTGTCATGGTAGCAGAATGTTCATTAAATATCCATGCATGGAATGTCAAGCAAAAGGACAAACGGTACAAATACATTTTTGTGTTAATTAAAATTAAATAAATTTTTTTTTAAATAAATATTTCTGTATGTCATAATTGTTTTACAATAAAATATTTTAATAGGTGCAACGCAAGAAAGTAACAGTCCCTGTACCAGCTGGTGTTGAAGATGGTCAAACTATTCGGATGGCTGTTGGTAATAAAGAAATATTTATAACATTCCGTGTGGAAAAATCGAAATACTTTCGAAGAGATGGTGCAGACATACATACGGATGCTGAAATTTCGTTATCACAAGCAGTACTGGGTGGTACAATAAGAATAGAAGGCGTTTATGAAGATCATACTATACAAATTCGGCCTGGTACTTCGTCCCATACTAAAATTCGACTTAATAGTAAAGGAATGAAAAAAGTAAATGGCACAGGACATGGAGACCATTATGTACACATTAAAATTGCTGTACCTACAAAATTAACTGATAAACAATTGGCATTACTCCAAGCTTATGCTGAACTTGAAGATGATACACCTGGAACTATATATAGCATAACATATAAAACAGATGGTAAGGATAAACATGATGAATCATGATATTGAGAACAGTACATTACAAAAGTAGAGAAAAGTTAACAAAATTTTTGTCTTCTTTTTTCTTCTTTATATAATAAATTAAACTTCGTAACAATTTTGAAGTTATGAATATTCCGAATAGAATTTTTTCAATAATTTTTGTTCCTTGTAAAATCAAGTATAAGATTAGATTTGTGTGTCGCTTGAGTTTCCTCATGTGTACCTGCCCTTGCTAATTCAATAAATGATGTAAAAATTTATATATGCGTTTCATTAGCGTTTCATATTAATAAAATATGTTTTTGAAGAAAGAATGTTAACAGACTGCATTACAAATAACGTAATAGTCAAACAAGTTTTATATATCTCCGTAATTTCTTTACTTCATTTAATTTCAAGTTCTTTTATCTTGAGAGTTTACATACTTTTTTGGCAGGTCCAAAGGTAAAAACTCAAGCGAGACAGAATACACAAAGTGAACCGAATGATGAAAATGATGGTCTCCTTAACAAAATCAAGAAAGCAATATTTGGGTAAAATTTGGGTGAGTGAATCTTTAAGAGGAAACGCAAAAATTATTTTTTTCTGTATAATTTATTTGTATGATTAATAAGTTCATAATAAAGCATGATCTTTTAATATAGATTATGCTGAAAAATTCTACTTTATTACATTTGTTTTATCCACAGGAACTAAACAAAGTTATGCTGGTCCTTTGGATTTGTTGGAATCCATACGAATAGCATTAGGTGACAAGGATATTTCTCATAGAAACTCTGGGTCTTCTAACTGCGAAGGTCGAGAAGATAAATCTGAAGATAATAATGGAATGAAAAGCAGTAGCTCGGTAAATGAAGATGTTGACACAATGAGAAGACGAAAAGTATCTTAAATTCAATGACTAAAAAATTATTTGCAGTATCACTAGAAGCAATTAAACAAGAAATATAAAAGTAAAAGTTATTATCATGTAAAGGATTCTGATGCATCGATGTTATAAATATTACTTAAATTACAAACAAATTGACTGTAATCCACTTTTTCAAACGTAATTATATATTGAGAACATTGTTTATCTGATTAACATAGTTTGTTAATGTACTTGTGCAAATGTATTCATACAAAGATTAATAGTTACCGAAGTATCAGAATTAATAGATAATTATAGTTATATTACTTGTGTAATAAACTATGCAAACTGTCATATTTCTACTTATGTTTTATCGCTATATCCTTCATTCCATACCATACTATCCAAAACAAATTTATATGTTTAACATTTTATTATTAATTTTAATATCTTGAATTTCATTTCACTACGTTTGGTATAAATTAATCTAGCGCAAATGAAACAAAACTATAAAGTATAAATTTAATTTATTAGTTTAACTACATTGCAGAAGTATGTGTAAAATATAAACAATATATAATAATAGATCATAGATAGTGTCCATATTATGACTTTAAATCAGTATTTTACTTTAAATAATTTCTTCAGTAATCAAATGTTTAAGGTTCAAGTAATACAGATATATATACATATACATGATTTTTTAATTTGACAAATGTAGTATAGTCACATTAGAAAGTTACACGATAAATATGATTTTGTAAATATCAATATTGAATTTTTTGAATGTAAGTACAACAGAATGGAAGAAAATTTATTGATTGAAAAAGATAGATATTCTTGTTAATCATTTTTAATAAAATGGTTTCTAACACATTTTATGTTTTCATATCAAAATTTTCATTATTCTTGTCATAGATTAATATTTACTCTATGTACAATGATATCTTTATGCATGTGAAAATAGAGTGTGTTAATACTCGTAGTAATTAAAGATTCTTACTAATTGATGCAGAATGTGTTTTATTACACCTGCTGCCTACGAAGAACGTTAATTTATTGAATATTCCTAACTAGAGATATTAAATATTTACATAATTTAAAAGTATTTATATAAATATTATATAAAATATTCATAAAATAATTTTATCGATTTTGGAGTTTATGACGTATGTAGTATTGTATATATGTATGTATATATTCAATTATTTTATTCATTTTATGCCGATATCGTGTTTCGTATTATCTTACGAATGCTAATAAATTATGATGTATGAATTATGATGATAGCTGAAGAATATTGTTATTTATAATATATACTTTATAATTAAAACATATGGTGTAAATGTGGAACATAGAATTCTATTGTGTTTTATATATTTATAATTTTTTATAAAATTTTATTCTGAAAATTATCGATCTTGAAATTACATTTTACTGATATGTATATTTTAATGCAATTCAGTGAAATATGCATTACAACGAAACAGCTTTATGACAAATTATCTTTAAGATAGTTATATATTCGAAATATAAAACGTTTCTTGAAAATACTATGCTTCGATTAATAAACCATATTTGAGACCAATATTGGTCAAGTTCTGGGTAGTTGATACACCCAAAACCGCAACCGCAATAGCAGCAATAGTGACTGCACCTTCCAAGTAAAGACCGTATAATACTCGCACATAGCCAACTATTGTTGAAAGACCACCAGCAGCAGTAAAATCTAAAGGAAATAGAACACTTGCTGCAATTGGCCTGGATCTAGCTACTCCAAAACACAAGACTCCCAGCAGATAGTAAGTGGCTGTAATTGAAAATAATGTATAGTTTTTAATTTAACATTAAATAAAATTAATAATTAAATTAACATTAATATTCGAACACAGTACTATCTCTGCGATAATAACGAGTTATTCTGAGTGGTAATTTTTATCGACCTTAATTTTATTTCACCCTGTACATGACATTATTTACTTAAAGTCATATTCTAAATCAATTGGCAAAGTTTTGCTTTTTTAACATGAAACATTTTATAAGGGCATATTTTTATCCTAATAAAAAAATAATACTTGAATCAGATTTTATGACTCCAAAGACCCCTAAAACAAGTCTCATTGAAATTACCGATGATATATTTACTGACACTAAATTTATCAGCATCAGACTTGCCCAACATCGCAGTTGACCGACACCAGACTATATCAGCAACAGCTTCAACTTAATTATTATGTTTGGCAGTATGACTGTCAGTATCAGCACAGATAAATAAGAGCGGATTTTTATTTATCCGTGTCAGTTTATTGCTGCAGATAAAATCGGTGACCGATCGCCTTACAGTGGCCGGGTTAAAAATGCTAACCCAAACTTAACACAAACCACTTGATATTGATTTGTATTGAAATTACATTCAAACTTATCGTAAATTAATTGAAATTTACAAACGAAAACTTATTTAATTGCTAAGCAGATCGTGTTCGATATTTGGTTTGGATTAGTTCCTTAATCCGTACACCGTAAGGTGGCAGGCTATCAATCATCTATAGCATAAAATCTATCTAAGTAAAAGTCCTCTCTTATTCCCTTTTACTTTTGTGCTAATATTGCCAGTCAATCGAAGCTGTCGTCAGCAAAAGCTGTGGTCTATGAAATCTGGAGTCGGTCAAATTTGGTGTCAGTGAATAGTCATCGACGAAATCTGTGTCAATGCTTTCAATGGGATCCCCTAAAACTGTCCTGTTTGTAATTAATCGCGTAAAGTTAACAGACATATAAATTTACTCCAGGTTTTTACTTTTTCAGATCACTAATCGTGATAACGTTATATTAACCAATCTCATAGAAAAATTATATGAATATTATAAGTGTATATACACGGGTATTATGATTTTATAATTACCTACACAAACGAAGGGCACTACCTTAACCCATTTTGGTACTGGCGGTGTATAACTTAGCTCTGTTTGCTCGTATCCTTCAAGTATCCTCGATATAGCATATCTTTGTAATCGTACTGCTAACAGAAGACCAAGATTCATAACTAAAAGAAAATGTGCAGGTATACCAATTGCTGCAAAAATAACAGTTACTGTTCGACCAGCTGTCGTTCGTGGAACCGGGGCACCAAAACCTAAGGGAAATAAAAGCATATTATAAACTGGCAAAAGTAAAAAAATATATGTGCCTATACGTAACTATGTTGCTTAAGCATCTAAAAACAGTATAGAATAGATAAAAGTAAGCGCCCAATTATATTTTTCGAAAGATTCGTTATCAGACTGCGTATTTTTATGAACTGTGCAAAATTATACAAAATATACATAGCATGAAAGACATGTAAACTATTCAATGTATAATGCTTTCCATAATATTTGTCAGGTAAAACAATTTTGTACCGAGGTTTAATTTTATCAATTATACTCTCAAAAATATAAATTTTCATAAAAATCCGCAGTCTATTCATTATGTTTCCTAAGTTTGCTAATGTTACATTTTATACTAATTATTTAAAGAAACGATACAATGTGCATATTAAAATCTTGCATTTGAAACTAATACCGTTTGTATTTCTTCTTTTTTATATTTATTACAATAATTAAGAAGCATTTATTTGCTACAGAAACAACATTTTAATTACCAAGAGTGGTGAGAAGTGAAAGCGCAAATAAGATACAACCCGGAAACGTCCAAAGTTGTCCACTATTTCCACTTTCGCCATATCCAGAACTAACTGCCATCAATAGCAACTTCTCGTGTTTTTCTACATATTGGTGCACTTTGTTACTCCAAAGCGGTTCTACGTCTTCTTCTTTTTCTGTACGCAACTGTCTCAATTCCGTCGCTAAGCCAACCGCTAAATCTTTCTGCATATCCTTCAATTTTACAACTTGCTCACGTTCCCGAGGGCCCTCAATCACGCAAAAAGCCACTGCACCAGCAATTGCCCAAATGGTAAGTAACCACGTCAATCCTATAATACGTAAATCACGTTTGTTAACTAAAAATAGTAAAAGCGAATTACACATTAAAATTGTTTGCCGATATGAGAATCATTTTTTTCAATAATTCACTGTACGCCCCGCTGCTTAGGTTCACCTCCTTTCGTTCGTATCAGGAGGTTTACTCGCGTGCAGGGATATTTTGGTCTATTTTTAATTATCAATAAAGACAAAGCCGAAAACGCAATTTTTTATTTCGGCGTCAAGAATCACCCCTTAAACTATGAAACATCTGTTGCTGGACACTCTGGACGGTGGCATATGAAAATATTCAAACACTCCTAAAAGCTTTGATTTGAAAAGCTTCGCTTCGAGAGCTCATTGTACTTCTAAGGACAATGGAAAAAATCCATATATATATATATATATCTTCTATCTGTATTAGTTTATGCGATATAACGAATTTTCTGTTTTTATTTTGTGTTATCTAGTTATTAGAGGTGCACGGACACTCGATATTTCGAGTTCGGATGGGGTCGAGAATTCTACTCGAGATTGTGTCGTGATCCCTAAAGTTTGTAACGTCTGTGTACTCCCGATATTTCGTATTATTTCTTATGGTCAAATGTGGAAATCATTCTAAATCTAAAGATAGAAAATCCGATTGTAAAATTAAAAAAAAGCAGACCAGATCCAAGCCTCGGGTACCTGTACACTCCTACTAATTACCTTCACAGAAAAGGACCACGTTGTATTTAGAGGCAATCCTGTAAACGTCTTGTCATGCATCCGATTACATTCTGAATGATTCCTGAATTTGCCGAAAAGCTTGTTCCATTCTGAACCTTAATATATTAACATCATCAATAGAGTTTTCACTGTTTGCAAAATTCCTTATATCTCATAGACAAAGATAGAGCATACGTTTATATGAACTTCTCTCATTGTTTTTAGATTTACAACCAACTCCTCGAGCGAGTCTCACACGTTCTGGTACACCCTGTATACTATGTGAAATATTTGAAAATTTCATTAGCACTGTAGCGAGACTCGACCTCGATTATTACTCCTACCTCGAGTCTGAAAATTGGATCTGAAAATGTAATAGAGGTTACAAGATATTTATTGGAAGCATACGTTTCGCAAAGATCAACAAAGTATTTCAACAGTCAATTGTGCGTTATATTCATAGAATACGGTATGTAGCGAGAACATCTTTAGCATTTGTACGAGTAGAACTTCGACTTTTAGTTTCTGCAATTGCTCTTGTTTGAAAACTCCTCTGTAATTGCTCTTTCTATAATAGAAGTTCACCACTTTTCCCCAGTACTTATTATTCTTTGTTCACATAATAGAAGCTCTTCAGACAAGTGAATTCAACCAGTAAGAGTTCAGTTAATCGACTAAATTACTAACTTAACTAAAGTTTCGTTCCAATAGTTGGATTTCAGGTAAGTAGAGTTCTACTGTAACTGAATGTTTAAGACTACTAGTCGTGCTGTATACTAATTTCGCACTAAATGTATGTTTGGTGATAAATGTCTTGTAACTTCTATATCCATTTTCGGATTGATTTCAAATTTTAGTATTATAAGCTTAGTTTTGCGGGGACAAAAACAATATTCATAAAAATATTGTGTGGTAAGTGTTCGAATACTTTCATGAGCCACTATATGTATACTTTATGGAAAGTATCTTCGATACACTATTTTTTATTAGCAATCATAAATTATGAGCGAAAGAAGAGATATCAATGTATTTTTACCAAACAACGAGAGTGATAATCTTCCTAGAAATCTAATATGTTTCCATATTTTCGAAAATCCTTTTACATTTGACGAAGCTACATCTTCTTCTTCGACGATATCTTTAACGGATGGTAAAACCCTGAGTCGCAATGGTAGTCCAACTGTTGTTTGAATAGCAATTGATTTCGTCGGTTTTTCGGAATTTGCGGTCGTTTTGTATCGCGGAGAGATGTCTTCCGAAACTGTTGTAGGTGTATCTAAGAATAATAGACTAAATTATTACTATACTTCCAAAGTATATAATTTTAATGCAACCTTTAAAAGTGATTTTCTTGCTTTATAATGTATCACGTAGATGATCAAAAATGATGATAAGAAGGAAATATATTTTCATTATTCAAGACCATTATAGTTAAATATAACATTGTCTCTAATAACGACGAGCCTCGCAAATCTTTAAGAATACAAGGTCTGGCACAATAACATGTACAGGTGGGCGTGAGGTGATTTCTTATGAAAAAATAAGAAGAAAATTTGACTAGCGCATAGTTGAACTTGGCTGATCACCGAGTGCGAGGAAATAATCAACAGGAAATTATCCTATACACGAAAATAAGTCGATAAGTGGAAACAATTTTTCACAAGATTCTTTGTTTCCGAGAAAAATAAATTTGAAAATATATCATGCGCGTGTACCAGGCCTGTTCTTAACTAAGCATATCGTTGCTTGGCATTGATAGTGGCATAACTCAACAAATTTTAAACTACACTATGTTTCTATTTTTATCGTGTAAAACAGTAAATATTTTCCATCGGTTTTGCGTCATAAGGAAAAATTATTACTTATGCTGTTATCAACCTGGCCTTAGTTTTACAACACTGGCTCATCTTCAGTCGTTTTGCGACAAGTAGATGTTATACTGCTTTCGCGAATAGTCGCATAGCTTGTATCAAGTCAGCCTTATAACATCGTTGAAACGACTCGCGAAGATTTCTTTGTAAATTTGAAAAAAACTCTTTTCTAAAATATATATTTTTCGGGTTGTGCCACTATCAATGTTGTGCCAAGCAGCGACACTCAAACTTTATTTTCTTGGAAATGAAACCTTAAATGGAAAGTATTTTTACTTATTTTTGCACGTATAATAATCTCCTGTTGACTATTTACTCTTACCCAGTCGCTAATTAGTCACGATCAAGCGTCTTGGATAAATTTTCAAACTCGATTTTCTCAGAAATTAAGCTTCGAACGAAAAAATGTTATTCGATATTTTCCCCTTATTTTTTATAAGGAATTATCACATGCCCGCTTGTCTATAGCCTATATATACATGTTATTCGATTCGATCCTATATATGTACATAGATATGTTCCTGTAATGCATGAAATGTTATTACTTCGTTGAATTTATTGTGTATATTGTCAATATATTTCTTTAATTTGAATTACAATTATATAGTACAGTAGAGTATATACGCATCTTGAGACTCATCTAAATTTTCTTAGGCTTAATTTCCAATTTTAAACTCTATAGTGCGTTCCGCTGTCCTACATTCGGTTTTTCCTTACGTATTGATTTAGTTCTTCTTAACGCGTTATTATTAATGAAACCAGAAATAGCATATACATCCAACCGGTGATACAGTCATCAAACTTATACTCCTGTACAATTCTGCAAATTATATAGTATTATTTAAAAGTATTGTATAGTATACATGAATATGTATACATATAAACGAGCTTGAAGGCAGAGAGATAAAGATAAAGATTTTGTCACAAAATAATTAGAGAAGCTTAGAAATATTTTAAAACTATCGCCAAAATAGATTGTTTTATTTTAATTTTACTTTGTCTTGCTTTTATTATTTTATTCAGTATCGTTGCAAATTTATGGTTTGTGTGTTTTATATATTCATATAAACATTTTTATATGTCTCATGTAAAAAAATGTAAAATTTTAAGCTATCATAAAGAATGATTATACCTTAGGAATTATTATTATTATTATCTATCGTCGTTTAAATTCGGTTTGTCTCTAATAAATGACACTATTAAATATAAGTATAATTAGCTTCCATCTATTATTAAATAATCAATTAACGAGTAACCAAGTGTAGAGGTAGTAATAGTAGTAAACATAAACGTACACATATCAAAAGAACAAATGAATATTCCACAACATAATATAAAACTATGTGATTAGAACTAGATTGACACGTAGAATGATCACTATTTCTCGTTTTATATACGCACGTATATTGTAACTGGTTCGTAATTTAAATATCTTTTTGTGTTTTAACATACTTACATTGACGTATCTTTGTCAAATTAAGTTAATATATCGACTTGTATAAGTTATTATATGAGGTGTATTTAAAACTGAAACTAAGAAGAAAACATAAAAAAATGTGAAGATCACAGGAAGAGTTATGTGAAGAAATGAGAGAAAAATGTGAAGAGTTAAACTGTTATATAATTTATACAAGATACACGTCTCTACGTCTAAACATTCTGAAGAATTCATTTTGAAAATAGTATAGTTCCAATAACGTTTACTTGAATATGCAGGAGCTGGAGAAAATAAAATATATGTATATATGCATGCATAATATCAATATGACGTGTAAGAGGTGTTTCCATTATTTTGTCCAACCCCTGTACACGATATGCTCGTATGATCAAATAATCTTGACAAACACTGTTAAAATTTAATCGATGATACAGAAATGTAAATATCTTTAATACGTTATCATACGATGTCAAAACACTTGACAAAAATTAGCCATACCTATTGCAAACACTACATCGTTGTCGTCTTCATTCTGGTTGTGCCTCTGCTGTTCGGTCATCGTTATGTGAAACTCGGTAACGCGACGTCCGATCTCGTCCTTCGATTTCGGATGTATTACGTTCCTATGGGCAGAATGTCGTATTTTGTGGATCTTGATCGCCCTGTGCATTTTCTTCCCGGCATGTTGTTTACGAGCGCATGTAACAGCAGACAGCGAAACAGGTGTCAACTTCGCAACGTCTATAACATCACTAACGGGCGTCGCAACACCCCCAAGGATTGGCGGTGCTGGGAAAAGGGGCACGTCCATTGACAAAGGTCAAGGTTCCTTTGCTTATGAAGTACAATGCTATCATCGATAGCGATTTCTTTCTTTAACCTAGTCCTTTGTTGGTTCTACATCAATGTACCAAGGTAACGGAGGCATGTGTAACTTTTTTCTTTACACATATAACTAGTGCACTGGTGATGCAATCGTTTCCATTTCATAACTATTTATCCATGACCTTTCAGTATGCACAAATTTAATTTATAAAGAATATTTACCGAGGAACAAAGAAGTTTTGGGTTGAAACTGGTTCGTAAGAAATGTTTGTACAAGAGGAAGCTGTTTGGTAGTAGCATTTTATATTTAATGGATTTAAATTCGAGCATCTTTTGATACTTTTGATATTTTCAAGTTTTATTTTTTATTTATTTCTAGTTGTATTTAAAAGAGATAATGATAGGAATGTTTGTTCCATTTCATGGCCATCGTTATATGTATTGCCTTTGTAAAATTTACGTAAGAGTTATAGCTTATTTTATGTTTTTATTTCATATAATATTATTATTATTTGTTCTTAACATCTTATTAATGCATGTAATATTAGAAAATTTTTTAATTCATTTATGACTTACAATTGCAACAACATCTGAAATAATGAAAACAAATTTCTGCGTTAGTTCAAAATATGAATAGTAACCATTTTGATCTTACTTATTTTCTTTATATATTTTATCTATATATTCTATTTATCTCCTCTAGTCGATCACTTACGAAAATTTAATTATTTAATCATGCTAGATAAAGTTACTTGAGGCGGTGCTAGGTCTAGATTACTGCACACCTAAGTATATAATACCAGGCAAAGCTCAGAGAGAAAGAGAAGGTTGGGGTTAGAGCAGGGGCAAGAGCTTTGAGGTATGAAGAGAGTATAAGAAGAGGTGTAGGTGGATTATTAGGTAAAGAATGCGTAAAAGAAAAAGAAAGGGAAGTTAGAAGAACAAAAAGTATCAGAGCAAGAGAAGAATGGTTTTAGAGAAGTGATTGCAGCCAGCTAGGCGTAGAAAATCTAAGACAGCAGAAGATTGATATAATTAAGGTTCTGACAGAAAGGGACGAAGAGTTGCAAGGTCAAGATGCAATATAATAGAATTTGGAATGCCAAATGTAATAGTAGGTACAAATATGCACGTAAGAGTAGTGGGCAAAACGAAATATCTGGAGAATGAAGGAAAAGGAGGCAGCCAGAGGCCTGTAGACTGGCAAATCGTTACTGGTCAGGAGAGGAAAAGAGAAAATGTATTTTATGTAGGTTAAAGATATGCACTATAGATAGTGCTATAACAATTGTTAAAATATTGCTAAGTTTCCAGCGTACTAAGAGAGGAAAAGATAGGAGAATAGGGTTGTCATTTATAAAATTACCGGATTTTCAGAGGTCAATTTCACCCCCTTAAAGTGAATTTGAACAGGAGAACAAATTTGCTTAATACATTTCTGTGTTTTCTCCTCATATCCCCAAAGTTTCTTAATTTTTAGAATTTGCAGGTTGCGAATCTTCCGTTGTCGAATGAAAAAATCTCTCCACTACTTCGATAGCCTACTTCTTTACTACCCTGTACTACCACTAGCCTCCCTCTTTCATCTTCAATTCAGTGGTTGGAATATTTGTTACTCTTTCCATTCCTAATATGTCACTATGACATACTTTTGTGCATAGTACGGAAACTAGAACCAACCACCCCTATATATGTATAATCTTGACAACATATTTCAAGAGCATCAAAATCAGTAAGGAGGTAACTATTCGGCAACTTGGCCAAGTTTATTGATATTTATACCATAATCTTTTTTCACCATTCGGAAGAACAAGATAACAAAACCTAATTTCTGTGTCACCCTGTATGATCGTAATAAAAGCTTATATAAGGTATTAATAGTAAGTATAATATAATGAAAAGTTTAGGATTTATTAAATTAATTTTAGATATTTAACTATCCGTTATTTCAGCATATTTTCTATCTGTAATTGTTGATATTATTTTTTCACATACATATATCGTTGAGTAATCATGTGAAACAAATTTACAAAAATAAGAATTATATTATTTATATGTTCTTTCACTTTTTAACTCTCACATAATGTATAGAATTGTTAACAAATGTATAGAATTATTTGTTCAATCTCTGTTTAAAGAATACTAAGTCCAAACCACTCGAATCTACTATAGGTCAGTCGTAGTATATCTACGATGCTCGATGCTTAAAAATTATAAACAATACTTATGTTTCTATTTTCCTAGATATCGAATGCATGCTCCTTTTCCTTCGCGTTTGTGATGTAAATGTAATCTCAAAGTAAACGTTTAAAAAGAGGAGCCGTGTGATAACAGGAAAACAAAGCTGATAAAGCTGCACTTAAAGGTCATATAATATATGTGTACGTATTTATCATACCGGTGATTATGTCTTCTTTAAATTTACTCATGTACTTACTATATACACGTACGACCATTGAATGAAAGTCCACGCATCAATATGTAGGCACGACCACACATAACAAACGCGGTTGGTACATCATAAATGAAAGGGAATGGAAGGAATATAAAGTTGAACTTGAAAATTACGATGTTTAGGAATCAAGACGAGACGATCCGTATACTCCTCCGAACAATTTACAGACTACTGGCTTCGAATAGCATTTCGTAGATTTGGCGCATTGCATGCTACGGTGAAGGATGTAGTAACGTAAATGGTTCCCTATCGATACACTAAAATTAGAACACAACCTTGGAATAAATCACGAAGATATTAGCCAAATTTCATCGCACTTCTCGTTTTCTCCAGTAAGATACATCACGGTAGGTCATTGTCGGATGTTGACCTAATGATATATGAATAATTTACGGTAGATACAGCGATTCATAACGCTTGTACAAAATTTTGATGTGTACGTTATACAAAACATTTTAATATTTCATTAGCACTCCCATAAAACACAACTATCGTGATTATATTGATAAAATTTGGAGCGGTATTTGAAACGATAAAATTTAGCGGAGACATTTAGACAGATTTAGGCCACGAGTCACTAGCGACAGAACTGTCGCTTTAATAGTTCTACAGGGTGAGTCACATGAATACTTGTTTTAATTTTTGAGATAAAGAGAAATGTCTGAAACAAAAATTGTTTGGTTCCAAGAGGGCCATCATATGGCTGTCAAAACGTTTTATCCGGTGAATGCGCTTAGAATATTTGAAGTTCGCCGTCATATGTTTAAGTGCAAATACATATTTTTGAACACCTGCCATTGTAACCACTCTCAAGACGATTTCAACGACTACAGTCATTCAAGAACACAAAAGTACCTGTGTGAAAAATGAAAATTCATAAAGTATGCTTCTGAAACAGAACATTTTGTAATATGAAGGCAAACAGTTGTGGATTACTAAAATGGCTACTAACTTTGACACAAGGTCAGATAGGACACATATTGATACGAATTTTTTCCATTATTTTTTGTGATTCCTATTCACTTTTGAAGTATGTCCCATATATTACCCCGTATATTAATGACACACCCCGTATATTAAAATCGGTTTCCCACGTCTTATTGGCGATCAACGGCATGCAGCGAGTGAATATTTTTGTTTATGTACGAGGCTGGTAAAACTGTGTTTTATTTTCTCATTGGATCGTTAGTGGCAACGTAAAGTAAACTACATTCCTAATACGATAATTCCAAAGGTAAACGTGAACGATTATCACCTAGCCAACCATCTATATCATACTTTAAAAGGAATTTCCACCTAGATAAGGTTTCAATTTGTGCACAATGAAATATCAGATATTTAATTCAGGATAAATTGTTAAATCTGTATTTGTGGGTAGGTCTATAGCCAACGGCATGGTCGACTACATAGAGTTTTTCTGGAAAGTTGACCATTTTTAATGAGCCGCAAAAAGATGTTTCATCGCGATAATACCATAGCACAAACGCTGGATAAAAGCAACCTTGAAATTCTCCATAACAAACACGACAATAATGATCTGTTGATGGCACTAAATCACTAATAATAACTTTAAATAGCTTACATATAATCCTATTAGCTATATTCTACGATATTACGAAGTACAATATAAATACATAGGTAGGTATCTCATAATATACGTATGTATACGTGCATGTACACAAACGTTTTTTCTATTGTACAACATCACACGTATGTATATAAATTAATATAATAATTTTATTGCAATACCTATACCCATACAAATACATACAATGCAATACCCATAAAGAATGAAATGGTACAGTCCAGTCGTCGTTTTAGCTGCCATTTATTTTATAGTGGTTACTAAAAATTTGAGCCGAGTTTTTCTATGAATTTAAGCTGAAGTTTTTGTTTTCGTAGGTTTAAATTCTGGCGAATTGCATCGAAGGTAGGCACGCCTGCGCTGTATCGATCCAAAATTGACGGCCTCGTCTTGCCTGAACGGCAACAGCAGTGCCCAAGTACATCTCAGTTCAATGAATTTACCGCGTTTAGAACATGGAAAATCGTCTCTTTAACAACAATGCGTTGCTCTGGTCGAAAGTTCCTAATTTGGTTGAGTTTAATGTTCTTCTTTCTCCTGATCGGTCGTCTCTTGATCGATCGTGGATTCGATTTACCGATACTGGTGATCGGTACTAGCGATATCTTAATACCAAAGACTTATTCAAGTTTTCAGCAAGATGTACAGACTGGAGCACTTGCTTTCGTAGCCGGCATGTACATGGCAGGTCTGCAACCTAGGAACAGAAGTTTCTGCAGATGGTATCATGGCCTGCCGAATATGCTCTCGTATCCGGCATCCAAAGTCACCTGGAGTCCCGAAATCGGTGAGAAGAGCCCCTACAGAATTCTACCGTTTGTATTGCGCGGAACCGAGGAGAGGAACAAGCTGCCTCAGGTGACCCTCTGCACGCACGCCACTGCAGATCAAGTCTATGGAATCGTGGAATTAGCTCGGAGATGGGAGGGTCCATTAAGCCTGGCCGTTTTCACGCCTGGCCTCGACGCTGGTATCGCCGTTGCTCTCCTCGATCGGGCCTGTCGATGCGAACCTGAAATGTACAAGGTTTCCCTATGCACTCGCTCTCAAAACGGGTCGCTAGTAGTATGATTAAACTTCAGGCATTATATGCATACCGCATGTCTAAATCTATTCTCCATCGCGACTATCTCAATTTTCGTTCAATTTTAATTTAGTCATCGCCAACTATTTTGCTTGCGATACGAAAGCAACCGTATCTTAAAAAATGCAATCTGGGACAAAGATACGTGAATAGATAAAGAAAGTAGGTATCATCGAACTAGTGCCAGTATTACTTGGATTTTATTTGTTATAACAAATCCTTATGGTATATGGATTATTTAGTTAGTTTAGTTAATTTGAAATTAACATTTACACTTTTGTGTAAACAAACTGTCTTTAAGGAAAATTCATTGATACCTATCTACACTGCCTGTCCATTTATTTCTGTCCCCTACTCTACGTAATTAACAGCACGCTATAATTTTCTACTGTCACGGTCTCAGAAATACTGCTAATCATGTTTTATAAAAATTATACTCTTTAAAGTGAAATGCAAGATTTTAAATTTCCTCTACCTTAAAAATTGTATGAAAAGAATAAAGTAAATTACGTTGTTTCTAATAATCTCTATAAAACACGTGAGTAAACATAAGTACATTTAAGTAGTTTTTTTAATTACTAAAATACATCGCATCGTATCTATATAAGATTATATGGGTTAAATATAGAGATGAATACACACGTAAGTACACGGAAGTACTAACTACAGTTTTAACGTATGCCCTTTCACAGGTTTCTGTTCATTTGGTATTTCCGGCGAGTCGCCCACCAGCTTTAGGACAGATTACTCGAATTCATGGTGACTGTGCGGCATCCGATCTTCAAAGAGGAGATGGAGGGACAGAAAGGAAACGAAGAAGCATGATTTATCCTATTAACGTAGCCAGAAATGTAGCCAGAATTCAAGCAAACACGACTCGTGTTCTAGTAACTGATATCGAATTATTACCTAGCCAAAGATTAGCATCCGGTTTTATGGAAATTGTCCGGGAAAAAACACCAAAAGGCAGAATCGTGTTCGTGGTACCAGTATTTGAGATAGAATCAAATGAAGTGCCACCATTGACAAAAAAGGAATTGCTTTCAGCAACGAAGGCTGGTCTAGCCGTTTATTTTCACAGGTTTGTAAAAATAATTCCAACTGTGCGAAAATGATTTTACAAAATTCATATCGGAGGGTTGTTTTAACTTTATATGTATTAACATGTGTTACGTTATATACACTGGCAACAAGAAAAAAAGAAAAAAGTATTTGTACACTACTGCGTTTGTTATAGTTAACTAGGTCCAATTATAATAAATTTTGTATCACTTAATGATACATATTTTCATATGATTGTCATCAAAGTTTGATATTATGTAAATGAAACGTAGAATTTAATAAAAGAACGTTTCATTAGAATATAAAAGTGTGTACAAATATTTCTTTCAGCCAGCGTATAACCACAAATGAGAAAATACAAAAGATTTTACAGAGAATTCCTGGTTTATAGATTTCTCTGTTCACATTGTCAAAGGTTCCCTGGACTTAGTAGATGGTTAATTAGACCTGATCCGGGTAAAGTGAAACCTCTTATTATTACGAAAAGGGAATATCCACATCATAGATGGGAGCCTGTATTCATAGGAACGCAAAATGATCCCTTTTATGCTGAAGAAATGTCTTGGGAAGGCAGACAAGATAAAATGAGTCAGGTATTGCGCGTATTCGACGGATTTACAACAGAAATAAAATACTAATAGAATTATACTTGTTCTATAAAATTTTATGCACATATGTATTAATAAATATTAGTATGACATTCTATTTTAGAAGATCTACCATAATGAAAGGATATATTAAAATTAAATTTATAATGAATTTATAATTAATTTATATAAATTTATAACAATTTTACATGCATATAAATTTTAGTATTTACAGGTTATTTATAATAAAAATATACATAGTAACTACAGATTAATCATAAAAAAAATCGTTTTAAATTTCAATTAATCTCGTTAACTGTACTGTACATACTAGGATAGATAATAATTATTAAGAAAAAGATGAGCAATATAACACAATGTAATGATACAATATAGTGTAAGAAACTAGGAATAAGAATGCAACAACCTGCTTGTAATAGGCTGTTGGCCTTAAGTGCAAATAAATTGTTATTGTTGTTATTGTTGTTGTTGTTGTTATTATTATTACTACTATTATTGTTATTATGAGTAATTTCATAATGGTAGATTTTTAAAACGGAATATCATATGAATAATAAATTTTGTAAATAATAATAAATTGTGTAAGAAACGTGTTATATTAATTTTTAACATTTTCTTATAGATGTTCGAGATGTGTCTTTTACACTATCGACTAATTATACTTGATGGTGCCTTTTTAGTCCATACACCAGGTATTAAACGAAAAACAATAAAGATTGACAAAGCAAAACGAGAATTTTTAAAGCCTCACGAAAGAAAGAACGCTCGTATCTATCAACGTATAATTAGACGTTTATTGAAACAATATCCTGTTAATCGCAAATGCGCACAATAATATTTTTCGATAAAGGAAATCAGTATTCAGAGTAATCGCTTTTACTGTAGGAATAAAGTAAACTTTTAAAGATACACGGAGTAGCTATATAAATGCTGTTTGTTTTCTAATAGTGTTATCTATATAAATGATACGTTGTATCTATACTACCATCCATTATAAGAGAGTGTTTTTATATTTATAAACCAGTAGAAATTAACTGAAAATATGTGCCTATTTAAAATACAAAACATAAAAAGTCTCGTAGCAGTAACTCCCTGAATAATGAATATATCACAATAGTTTATTATTACTTAGTAATAGTATAATATATTATTATTTCCATTTTTTGGTTTAACTGGACATTGAGGAACTTTGTTATTATACATAAAAAATATAAAGATACGTGTAAAGAATATAAATATATTCTCCCAGCTAAAGCGTTACTGCGTTTGTTTGATAAAACAAATATATAAGTTAAGGTTTTGTATAAAAAAATGTATTTACCTACGCATGTTTCGTACGTTTCAAAATTTTAAATTATCGAACGGAATTTTTTCTTAAATGTAAGTATTTACTTTAAATATTATACTTATCTACGAAATTAAGTAACCATGTTAGTTTAAACAATATTTTTCAATTTTTTGCAATTATAAATAATTTATGCATAATTTTATTGAAACGACGATTAATATATAATAATGTATATTTAATACAAGAACTTAGGTAATTGTAAGTTTGAGTTTAAGGTATTAGTTTTCCTCAATACGGCACTGTGAAACTAACAATGAGTACAGATTAATTTTTAATGTTTGTTTTAAGTATTAAAATACATAATTCGATACAAATAGATTATAAAATTTCGTAAACAATACTTCGTATGCCAATCGTGATATGTACATATGTATATATGTACGACCATAACAAGGTAAGGCATAAACAATTCATAAAAATATATATTATAATCTTAGTAATTTTTTTATTTTTTGTGACAAACTTTGATATTTCTTAAGAAAAATTAAAATCTTATATTCACTACTACTACTTTTCTGCTGGGATTAAAAACGAGGTTATCCATAAAATGTTTGTTATCAGAATGATTACACACACGTTTAATGTACATTTAGTATTCATAAATGATATCTGTGCAATGAAAATAGATATTAATTCGAATAATCGATTTTGAGTAAGAATTTTGTGGAAAAAAGATAATGATAAGTTATCTGTTTATTTGAAAATAAGAACAGAAATATGAGTCAAAAGGAAAACTAAGTTACGCGTGTATTGGAGATTGAAGCTACAGGCTCAATCTTCGAGCGGTGGCGTACAAGCACAGGAAGGTAGTTGAAGTTTGCTTTATTAAAGCAGATTAAGTATGTATTCCTTTAATTATTTCGGTTTTATAACATTTAGTGAATATTTATTGGAATTAAAATATAGATCATCAATTGCAGGAATTCTAATAATGGATATATTAAGGAATGTATCGTCGGCTTTTTGGTCAACTGATGTTTGGTTACCGCCTAATATAACGTGGGAAGATATCAAACCAAATTCAGATAATAAATATGCAGACTATCAACATTTAATTTATCCTCTGCCTATGGCATTTGTTCTTTTGATAATTAGATACGCCCTAGAAAGGTAATCACTCTATTCTTTTGTAATAATATATCAAATTTGTAATTGAACTAAGGTTATAGCGTATTTAAGTAAATATTTATATTTTATATCTTTTGAAATTCTTTATTATTGGAATTTCATTTTTTAAGTATTTCATTAAACTTTCAATGTAAGCTAAATTATAGTACACACATAATCTTTGACATGTTATAATAATGTGTATTACATAGAAAAAGATCACATGATACTATGCAAGGACATTCTAAACTCTTACATCAACTCAATTAATTGAAATTACATACTTTATTAATCTTTTTTTAGGTACTGTTTTGCACCCATTGGTAAGTCCCTTGGTATAAAAAATACAAGAACAAAAAAAGCTACACCAAATGAAATACTAGAAAAAGCCTATCGTAGCAGAAAAATTAAACATAAACAGGTAAGCATGCATTAAATTAACTGGTTTCTTGATGTTATTAATAAAATTTCAATAAATAAAAATGAATCGTATTGTATTTGTTTATTGTATTGAGGCTTATGCCTATTATAATCTTTCTATATATGTGCATGCTTGATACAGTTTGTTTCTACCTTGGTTTTTTTCCTTAAAGCGAAATCTTAATTCACTATCTGTTTAAATATATTTATATCTTAATTTAATGTACAGATTACTACAAAACTTCTGTGTCAGTCTTTGATATTTTGTTCTTGTTTTGATTGTTCTTCTTTGGTCTTTCTATTCATCTAAGCAGAAACCTTCTAACTTTGTGCTTCTCTTTATGAAGTTTGCTAATTCCCATGTTTGCTTTTTTTGTTCCCATTGTTATTATTTATTATTCTTACTTCTCAACGTGATTTGTCTGATTTCTGTATACATTGTCATCTTCTTATAGTGTTTTGGATGTATTTTCTATTATTGTTTGTTGTATGTTGCTTTCCTCTGTTTCCTATAATGTGTCGTTATTTCCATGTCCAAATTGCTATAGTTTACGCCATAACTGGGTGATCTGCCTCCCCTTTTTGTCTGATACCTCTTTCTCCATTATCTTCAGTTTCTCACAGCATTTTCTCTGAAATCTATGTTCATCTGTGCTACCATGTCCCAGCAACTTCTCATTACCCCTAATTCAAAGTGTAATCTTTCTGTTTCTATTCTTGTCATGTAGTATGCATCATGTAATAATGTTGCTTTTATTACTGTGTCAAATATCTTTTGTGCTGGTTCTTATCCAAATAAAAATTTAATTGTAAACATGTTATTTCAATCTATTTTATTTGCATATTTTATTATAGAAATATTGATAACTATTTGAATAGTAAAATATAATTAATGAATATTTTGTTATTATCCATTTTACTCAGTTAATATATAAAGAGAAAAATAGTTTAGAAATATTTAATAAAAAGTTATGGTAAATACTAATTATAGTAAATCAATGTTGATCTTCAATACTACAATACACCATGATATTAAACAACAATTACATTGGGAACATAAAAAATTTGTTCAGTTCTGAATTGTGTGTTCAATATTAATTTCTTTAAACAGATTCATGTAATCTAAACAAAGCAACTGAGAAATTAAATGTTGTGGAGTTTTTTGTAATATGTGGATATATTTTAAGATCCTGGCACTGGCTAAACAATTAGATTGGTCTGAACGACAAGTAGAAAGATGGTTGCGATTAAGACGTACTCAGGATAAGCCATCAACACTTACAAAATTTTGTGAAAACAGGTTAGATTTTTAGAGTGAAATATAAAAAACGAAATATACTTCTCAATTTTTCGTTTATATAAAAGTTAATAATATGATAAAGTAAATTTTGCATTGAAATTCATACTATGTCTATATATATTTATCTTTAAATATTTAGTATAATCTATTCTTTTGTTACAGCTGGCGCTGCTTATATTACATATACTCATTTCTCTACGGGCTAATTATTTTATGGGACAAGCCATGGTTGTGGGACATAAATCACTGTTATTATAATTATCCATATCATCCAGTTTCAAATGATATATGGTGGTACTATATGATATCAATGGCGTTTTACTGGTCTCTAAGTTTTTCTCAATTTTTTGATGTAAAAAGAAAAGATTTTTGGCAAATGTTCATTCACCATATAGCTACTATTGTATTAATGTGCTTTTCATGGGTTGGAAACCTAACCAGAATTGGCTCATTGGTGTTATTAGTGCATGATTGTGCAGATATTTTTCTAGAAGTAAGTATGCCTTATTCGAACTGCTGGTATGTAATATTGATATGACAAATTTGATATGTACATGGAAAATACATATATTTTTTTTAGGCTGCAAAAATGGCTAAATATGCTAACTACCAGAAATTATGTGATTGTATATTCGTCATTTTTACAGTCCTATGGATTGTCACACGTATTGGTGTTTATCCATTTTGGATAATTTATAGGTATGTTCCGATAATTTTAATTTCTAATATATTTCATTAATATATTACATTAAATGTTGCAGCACATCGATAAAGGCACCTAAAATAGTACCTATGTTCCCAGCATATTATATTTTCAATTCTTTGCTAATTTTATTGTTATTCCTTCACATGATCTGGACATATTTAATTCTTAAAATCGCATACAACGCTTTCTATGCCGGCCAAGTAAGTTTTGATACCATATAAATTAAATGTAATTGTGAAATGTTTCAGAATTTTTATTTATACTTGTAATTTTTCAGATGGAAGGTGATATTCGTAGTAGCAGCAGTGAAGATATTTCAGATAACTCCATTGATAGTACACCACTAAATAATTCCACAAATTATGTTACCAAGCAAAATTCCAGACAGAAGGTTCACTAACAAATAACTTTTTAGAAAAAAGGTTATTGCAACAGTAATAAGGCAAGAATTCAAATATTTAGTCGGGCGCCAATTAATTTCAGCGAATTTAATAAACCCTTGCATTTATCGTAGTATGATAATTAAAAACCTTAACTTCGATAAAGTTATTAAAAAGGTTATTGACCTTTAAAACATTCGCCTTCTTTAGTTATTATTTTTTTAAATAATTTAGCACTACAAAGAAGTCATTTAATTGTTTCATGAAACAATCACTCATTATTTTAATGTTTTTACGTGTGAAAGAGTGAATATTAAGAACTACGAATTATTCTTTTTATTATTACTCATACCATTTATTTATATACATTTTATTTAATAATTTAAGAAATCGTGTTTTTCTTCCTTTTTAAGTAAATTCTGATTACTTAGTCAAACAAATGATGGACCAAAGTTTAAAAACGTTCAATATTTGTAATTTCTAAATCTTCTTAAAGTTTAGTACTTCATTATGTTTAATAACACTTATTTATTCTTATATGTTTTACAAATGATGTCCTAAATTTTTGAATTAAGGAAATTAATAATAATGTATCAAATAAGTTTAATCCACTTTTTCTTTAATTAACCTCCTTTATTATAGTTCTCTGAGGATATTTAATTAATTTAATTATTGTAATATTAGTGTTTCTTATATAAAAATAAATGTATTGTTCATTTTACTCTCCAAAATGTACATTGATATCTAGACTATAAAAGTTATCAAAGCACTGTGAATAAAAATCTAGAAAATATATAATATGCACTAATTTATTTACATA